TTCATCACCGCGAAGTCAGCGTAATCTCGTTTCTGCCTCTATGTTACAGATTTCCTGTACCGGCACAGCGTTACCATCGATAACGTTAGTACCGAGGTCGAGATACTGGACACTTCCAGGTGCGAGGTAAGTTCTTGTGCGATTTTTAAACGTTTCCTCCAAGAGGAGCCGGATTTTTCACCTTTTTTCATTCTTTCTTCCTCTGCTCGTGAAGTGTAGCGTTGCGGCGGACGTTGAATATTCAGATTAATTTTTTTCTTCTTTTTTGTGGTTTCGTATGTTAATGTGTACGATGCTGTGTTCGGAGAAATTATTTTACATACCTACGATGTGCTTTTCGTGAATTATTAGAAATTTTGTTTTTTAAAATTTCGCGATTTTTAATTTGCTTATCGCGAGTCTGAGATGATCTGCTTGGGAAAGTTTCTTTCCCCAAATTTTCACTTAAGTTTCTTACTTTAAAGGTTCCTTTTCTTTTAAGTTTCGTGAGTTTTAATTTGAATATTGTGCATATCGCCGTGGTAATGGCCGATTCGAGTGCGAAACGTCCGCAAAAATTTTAGAGTTACACTCGTAGATTGTAATTTAAATGCCCCGCATTTACCGAAGACAAACTGAGTAAGCTTGTCTTCCAAAATTTTTTATTAACGAAATCTGCAGTTGAAAGATCAAAATTGAAATAATTGAGGTAATTCTGCATGCAGATATTGCGTAAGTTAGGTTAGTTACGCTACACACATTCGGCGTTGCTCAGTTTGCAAAGGTTTGAAAGAGGTTACGAATGGCGAAACTAGGAAATTCTAAGCCAAAATGATAAAAGTCCACGCTTCGATATCTCTCAGTCGAGTGTGCTTCAACGAACAGATCGCAAATTATCGTCGGGGATTTTTGCCATTCTCACCGTTGGATCGGTGAGAAGAAAAGGAGCGTCAGGTACCTAATGATCCAGCGGGATTATTGATGGATACACGACATAGATTGGCGTTAAAATCTCACTCGAACACGAGCACGGTGAAAATGTACATTTACGGCCGTACGTTTATTTGACAGACTGATTTGCCCGCGTGAGTTATGCGTGGTTTCGTGGTCGGCTGTAAATTATCCACGGTTACAACGGGATCGTCGGCCTTTGATTTCTGTTTTACGGTGCTGCCCGAGCCAGCGAATGTGAGCCAGTGAATTCGTCGTCATTTTTGTCGTCGCTCTGGCTGAATAAGAGATTTGACCAAAAAGAAAAAAAAATACGCATACCTACTCTATGTATAACTCAATATTTCGCAAGTGAGGAGAAAAAGCTTGTGACACAATTTTCTTCCCAGCGCTGTTTCTTCTGTACACGTACGAAAGATGTTGAAAACAGAAATTAGAAATTTGATAAGTGGGCAAATTGTGCGTGTGAAAAAATTGAGAGATTTCAATTTGAAATTTTAAAGGTGAAATTTTCTGGATAGATTTGGTTGTGCATTTTCTTTTTTAATTTTATGGGAGATTGCAGGTTTTACGGTAAATTTAACTAAGAAAAAAAGAAAATTCGAAAAATTAATGAAATTCTTGAAATATAATAAAAAAAAGTAGGACGAAGGTGAATTTTCAATTTGGTAAAGGAATCATTTTATTAAGTTTCAATATTTTACGATGAATTCAGGAATTTTAAAGAAATTTTAAAAGAATTTTAAAAGATATCTTCCCTGAATGACACAAATAAGATTTTTAACAATTTTTACGTCGATATTTCTTTTTGTCGCAAAAAAATTCGTCGATCTAGAGCAGAATTCTTCCTCAAGGACCACGTCTGTCATATTTTCTATAGGAATTCGAGTTCCTTGGTCGATTCTAAAGCGAGTCGACTGCTGTTCCGTGGAAATCTGGTTATCTACCGTCGTTGATAGAGAAGAATGCGAGGAAAGACTGGCGTGTAACTCGCGGTGATTTAGTTCGTTCGTGGATAGACAGGCTTGGTAATTCCTATGGACTTTCGTTCGGTCGGCGAAAGGGTGGAACTGGTGTGGAGAATTCGATGGTTGAATTGATGTTTGTAGGTTTGCCTGTTGGAATTGATTTTCAGATGATGAAGTGGAATAGTTGGTACGCGGGTAATACAGTGACGATGAAATTTCTGCTGATTTAAATTGTCTCGGGAATGTGAAGGATTGCCGATGCAATTAAATTTGAATTTTTATTTTAGACATGAATTTCAACTTTTATTAATTTATTATCCCTGATAAAAAGAAACGTTAATTTAGTCTCAGCGATATAAAATTAATGACAAATAATTATATCTTAAAGTTATAAACCAGTATTTGATATGAGATTAACTTCGTTATTAAACTTTTCAAATTAGCATTTCGTCTCTAAAATATATTTGCTTTTAATATTCTTCTCGGTCGATCATTTTTACTATGTGAATAATCCAACTTCGAATTTGACCAATTTAACTAAAAAGACGAATTACGTCAAATTTCCAACTTCCTCAACTTTCAAAAAATGTTAATAACACATACAAAGAATACAAAAATCCCGCGAGAAGCACGCGTCGCTATCCTTCAAATCAGAACCATCAGATTACTCCTCCCTCGCCAATCCTCACCCGGCAATTACACAACACTGGAACGTTTCGCCGGAATTTTTCACCCGGCAATTACACAACGAAAAAGTAAAACCAGTTGATCCTCGATCCCGATTTAATCGGTCCCTCTCTCGGCGAAGAAGCAAGAGAAGAACGAAACGCAGCCACGCGATAAGTCGGTCTCCCTGTGCTTGATCCTCGAAGGATCGCCTAAGGGGTAGCAGTGTATACAGTGATCGACACCGATGACTTGACGAATCTTGGACGATCGAGCATCGCGAGAGCAAACTTGCAACGAACAAAACACCGAACATTCTGTTCTTTTGCCGGCGTTGTCCGCGCGAAAGTCTGTTTCGTCTTGCTTAGAGAGAACTCTCGGTGTAAACGCGCGTTCTCCGCTCGGTTCAGCGTTTCCTTTTGCATTTTTTTCGCGCAGACTCGGTACGCGGCATCGGCGCCTTTTATATTTATCTTCCGTCGACGCCTGTAAACACGCGACTATTTCACCAGGCCGAACCGTGGAGAACGCGCTTTTTCCCTCGTCTTCCACACTCGCCAACTCTTCATCTTTCTTCCGTTCCCTCTTCCGCCGCCGTCACCCTCCTCACGCCTTCGGGCAGTTACGTCTTCGCCGCACGACGCGCGTTCATTGTGAAAGTCACGATGAATCATTTTGCTTTTGCCGGGACACAAACGCTCTGCCTCGACACACGTTTCGCAATAGGCCGCTTTTCATTTAGCGCAGCTTTTTGCTCGTGTTTCTCGCGCGGACAGAGAGGAATTTCACCGAGGGGAAACAGAGCGGCGCTCTGTTCCTGATGAAGTCGTCCACGATCGTATCGCGAGCGTTTCTTGGAGGGAGGCTGGTTTCGTTTGCTGATTGGAAGGGTCGCCGATTGGTCGTTGATGTTTTCGAGGCGATTAGGGAGTGTTCGGAGATTTTGCTGACGGATGGAGGGATTTTTGGGGATATAGTGGGGACAGTGTTAACGGAACTTTAGCGAATTTTGAAAATTTGGGGGTGCTCTGTTTTTCTCTCTGTTATGAGGAAGCATGAGTTCACGCAATTTTGGGAAAATTAGGAGGAAGAAAAAATGGTGTCAACAATTAAATTTCACTTACTCCATTCTAGCTTCCACTCTGAATAACCTGATTCCAGCGCACAACTCAATTCTCACAAAAGGAATTGACTTGCGTTGTTTCCCATCTCACCCATTCAATTTTCCTTAAATTTCACATACATCATTAATTCTCAATTATATCCAGCTTCCAGCCTGAATAACCTGATTCCAGTGCGTGACTCAATTTTCACAAAAAGAATCAATCTGAACTCACGAATTCAATTTCCTTTAAATTCCACTTACACCATTAATTCTGAATTGAATCCAGTTTCCAGCGTGAATACCCTGATTCCAGTGCACGACTCAATTCTCCCAAAAGGAATTGACTTGCGTTATTACTCATCTCACCGATTCAATTTCCCTTACACCATCGATTCCCCAGCAATTAAACCAATCTTCTCACCATCTTCCCACAAATTCCTCCCGTCATTTAACTCGCATAATCGAAATTCCACCGATCCACCGTAAACACTTAATATCCAAATTCTCCACTCGGATTACACACGAATCTCCCCTATTTGCTCGATGGAACGAGATACTAATGCGGCCCCTGTGGAACAGCCACCGAACAACAATCGGCCCCGTCGACGTGACCTTCTAATGGCGTAGTGATTTATGCATAGTTTTTAAACCTCCGACTCGATTCGCCACCGGTGGCAATAATTCACGATCCTCGAGAACAATGGCTCCTCTCAGCTCGGTAATAGAAAAAGACCGCTGCGGAATCTCAATGAGGATTCCGCTCTACCTGCGACAGGTGAACACGCCGTTCCGTGAACGTGGCCAGAGAGCCACTTGACTCTCTCTCTGTATATATATACACGTACACATACACACATATACAAACATCTATGTACGTGAAGGCGCGCGAGTAAACGTGTGTGTATATAGTCAGAGTCGCCTAGATTCGAATTTAAAGGCGATCGTTATTCAATTCAAATACGCGGCTAACGGGCCTTGTCGTAGGATTTCCGCTTCGACGTGTTCGCGTGCAGGTTCGTTACCGTATTCTAGAAGAATCGGGTTAAGGAAGGTCAGGTCGGAACGATCGACCTGAAACTGGCCGATTCCGTGGAGATTTGGGTTAAGTAAGGTCAGGCTGGTTCAAACGAGCGACGCATCGCTTAGGATTGCGTCGTCGTTGGTGCCATCGAGTCGATGTCACATACCCACACACACCATGTCGTTACGACCATTGCCAGACTCTTTTTCGGATCCCTGTGCGGTATTTTTGAATACCGTGCGAGAGTGGCTTTTCAAGTTGTTTTTGGGAACGGAGATTTGCTGCTGGAGTAGCCGCCAGATTGTTCATTTTTTGTTTTGTATTGTGGGAATTGTTGAGCTCATTTCTTTAGGGGAGTATGTTAATTTTTGTGGAAATAAGAAATTATTGATTGTGTCAATTTTTTTTTTTTTACGGACGGTGCTCTGATTTAAAT